ATGGGTCACCCCAAAAGATCCCAAACACCTCAACAGCAAACGGGAAAGCCCCCAACGAGCAAACACGGCGCTCTGACCAAATTTTACCGTGATAACACGGAACACCAACACGAGGCTGCGGGCCTACCCATGGCGCCGGAATCCTCCCAGGACGGCTCGGCACCCTCTAGCCCGGAAGGGTCCGTCAGATCCACAAACCCAGAAGACATGGAGCTCAAGGAGCTTATACGAAACTTACCCACTAAAGATGACATAGCAAACCTGCTAGGCAAGATGGAAGCCTCCTTCAAGGTACGCCTAGACGCCATTGGGACCGATGTCCGCAAGGTGGGAGACAGAGTCACCTCACTGGAAGAGGATCGCGACATGCTCAGTGCACAAATGCAGCAACTCCAGGCTGCTATGAACACGCACACATCCACCATTTCATCTTTCTACCGTTCACTAGATGATGTGGACAACCGGGGCCGCCGCAACAACCTCAGGATCAAAGGCCTACCTGAACAGGATCAAGAAGACATCGGAACATCCCTAAATGAGTTATTCAACCTACTCCTTAATAGGCCGCGAGATACCCAAATCCGTTTGGATAGAGCCCATAGAGCTCTAAAGCCAAGGGGCGCCCCCTCTGCTGCACCGAGGGATGTGATATGCAGGCTCCATTACTACTCCGAGAAGGAGGACATCCTGAGGGCGCTGCGACAGACCTCACAACCGCTACTATACCATAACTCCCCGATACAGATCTATCCAGACCTGTCATGGGCAACCCTACAGGCAAGAAGGATCCTGAAACCCATTACGGAACAACTCAGGGTGAGAAATATAAAATACAGATGGGGCTTTCCCTTCTCCCTAATAGCCACACACATGGGATCCACGCACCAAATTACATCGATCCACGACGTTCCAGTGTTCACGAGAGCAATGGACTTACCCAACACGGAGGTGCTAGATTGGTATGGCACGTACCCAGGCCCACCCATGACCCAACTCCCCCAGCCAGGCAGAAATCAAACTCCGACTAAAAGAAGAAACAACGAACCGGGTGGAGCATGGCGCAACACGGGCCCATCCACTCCGAGATCATCCCGCCACTAAAATGCCCTTTCTGCACCCACCTGGGGAAGGCCTACCGACTCCAATCAGCACATGCATCCCCCTAACCACGCTGTACCCCCGCAACAATGAAGAATTGGCCTGGACCGGCCCGCTGCCAGTTGTGAACGCAAACCGGGACAAAGTAACAGTGAGTTGACTGCCATTTGGGGGACTCTATCCCCCCCCCAATTGACCCACCTAACCAGATACTGTTCCTGTATACACAATCGTTTGGCGGGAGGATACCCCCTCCAGAGTGGACCCAGATGGACATTCCACACTCACCCCAACGCCATGCCTAGAAGAGGTAGCAGGGGGAATCTGCCCCTGGGCCGGGCGGGGGCCGGCCTTCCCTCGCCCCCTTCCCCTCCCGAGAAGGGCCAGATCGCTCTTGGGGGACGGGACGGGGGGACCGCGGGCCCGGCCGGGCCTGGGAGGCAGATAGGGTGGGTCGGACAGGCTTGACGACTCTAATGGATGAGAGCTTGCCGACACATACTGAGCCAGGGCACAGGACTATGTAATGTCGGTCTACCCTTGTACTGTATTGTATGATGTGTGGGGGGCAGATGGGGTAGTCCGGACAGGCTTGACAACACCGATAGCTGTGAACTTGCCGACACGTACTGAGCCAGGGCACAGGACTATGTAATATCTATCTACCTTTGTATAGTACTGGAAGACGTGTGGGGGGCAGGTAGGGTAGACCGGACAAGCTTGACGACTCCAATGGATGAGAGCTTGCCGACACATACTGAGCCAGGGCACAGGACTATGAACTATCTGTCTACCTTTGTAATGTATTGTATTGTATGCTGTGTGGGGGGTCCACTGCATTGCCCAAACAGTCCCAGCGGACACACCGGGTCGATGATTACATCAGGGGTCAAGACGCATTACACCAATATAGGGAATAGCAACAGTACAGCCTGAAGTACCTCTTTTACTATTACACACGGTTAGGCCTCCCTCCCCAGGTACCCTTCCACCCCCCCCCCCCGTGACCATCCCATCATTTGTTGTTACACAACTTCCTATGGATTGCTGGTGCGCTTGTATGGCACTGAGCTTACACTCCATACGCGCTAGACCTTACACCCCATAACCGGAAATCTCCCAATTCTGACATAACTCCGGACTCCCACCCTCCCCTCAGCGGTGCCCTTTAGATTCCCTAGTGGCAACTACCCACTACCTGGGATAGACACCGACAGTTATTAGTTTCCAATTATATTTATCCTCAACAACCCTCCGCTACCAACCGGCTAACTGCACTTATATTCTCCACCCATCCAACTCTGGTTTCCCCTACCCCAACCTACACTACTCAGTTTTATTTTCATTGTACATAGTCACATTTGCTGAAACTCTAACTCAGTGCATCTATCGAGACAGCTGCAACAATGGCCTCCACTTCCCCCTCCAGTACTCAACCCCCGACGGCAGACATACATATACTCACTCTCAACACCAGGGGTCTCAACTCACCCGAGAAGAGATCACTGACCCTCCATGAACTGCAGAAACAAAAAGTGGACATCGCTTATTTGCAGATGACCCACTTTAAAAAGGGGGTCGCACCCTCTCTAAAAAATGCCAGATACCCCCTGGGGTTTTTCAGTGACTACACAGAAGCGGGGGGTAGCCATCCTTATCTCCTCCCAGATCCCTTTCATATTCAAAGACAGCCATACAGACGACTCAGGTAGACTGATTCTGGTAAAAGGGCTCATTGGACATAACATGGTAACCCTAGCCAATATATATTTGCCAAATAGAAACCAATGTCGATCCTTCAGAAAATATCTCAAAACCATAGAATCATTCCAGGAAGGCATCTTAATCATGGGCGGGGATCTCAATGTCTCCCTAGACTCCCAAATGGACACAACCTCAGGGTCCACTACGTATCAAATTCCCACAAGGCGGCAACTCAACCGTCTATTAGATCAGGCACAACTTTTCGATGCTTGGAGGGTGACAAACACACACTCTAAGGATTACTCATATTATTCCACCGCCACCAAAACATACTCAAGGATAGATATGCTCTTTCTCCATCATAGGTTCCTACACCTTATACAGAGGTGTCACTACGGCCCAATTACGTGGTCGGATCATGCACCCCTGTCTCTTGCCATTCGAATACCCTCTCTCCCAACACACTCCTTCCAATGGAAGTTCAACAACCAATTACTAAACAACCCGCCTCTAGTAGCCAAAGTATCAGAAACCCTCCGACACTATTTTCAGGAAAACACCTCCCCAGAGGTTTCGCCTACCACTACCTGGGAGGCGCACAAACCAGTCATCAGGGGACTCCTCATAGCCTTATCCTCCCAAATGAAAAAAGATCGCGAGGCCCAGACTCGCTCCCTTACCAACTCCATCCGATCCCTAGAAGAAGAACACAAAAGATCCAATTCCTTCGATACATATAAGCAATTGACACAATATAGGTCGTCCCTACAACAACTCCTCAACGTCCACATCAAACGTAAACTCTCCCTCTCCAAACACAATTACTACGCCAACAGTGGCAAATGCGGCCGCCTTTTAGCCAAGATGCTACAGGCCTCGAGACAAACCACGTTTATTCCGAAAATTAAAACAGAATCGGGAGACACGACTCACATACTCCCAGACATTCTAAATGCCTTTAGAGACTTTTATTCTAGACTCTACAATCTGAGACAAACGCCCCCGGACAAAACAGAAATCAAAAACTTCCTATCCTCCCGCTTAGCGCACACACTCCCTACAAACATTCAGAGAGCACTAGACGAACCCATCTCAACCAAAGAATTTGAAGACGTGGTACAACATCTCCCACTTAGAAAAAGCCCAGGCCCAGATGGTTTCACGGCCCCATATTATAAATCCTTTAAAAACCTATTGTCCCAACCTTTCACGGCGGCATATAACTCCCTCACACATTCAACCAATCTACCGGACTCAGCCCTAGAAGCCCACATTACGTTGATTCCCAAACCGGGCAAGGACCCTCTAAGCTGCGGGAGTTACAGACCTATCTCCCTAATTAATGTGGATCTTAAAATATTCACTAAGATCTTAGCCAATCGCCTCCGCCCACTCCTAGGGGAGCTGGTCCACCCTGATCAAGCGGGCTTTGTCCCATCACGAGAGGCCAAAAATAACACCACGAAAGTGCTAAACCTTATACACCTCTCAAAACTCTCAGCAGAACAAAGCCTCTTGATCTCCATTGACGCGGAGAAGGCCTTTGACAGGGTGGACTGGTCCCTTCTCCTGACAAGCCTAGAATCCATGGGGTTTGGCCCCGCGTGGCTCAAATGGATGAAAGCGCTCTATTCCAATCCCACTGCCAAAGTCCGTGTCAACGGACAGCTATCCCAGCCCTTCCAAATCAGAAATGGCACGAGACAGGGGTGCCCTCTATCCCCCCTACTGTTTGTCCTAGTAATGGAACCCTTCCTGCAGGGCATCAGGGACAACCCAAACATACAGGGAATACGAATAAACAACAGGGAACACAAATTGGCAGCTTTTGCCGATGACCTCATGTTCTCCATTACACAACCCACAACATCCCTACCAGCATTAATCCGCGACATCAACGAGTATGCAATGGTGTCCAACTTTAAGGTGAACTTCACGAAGAGTGAGATTCTGCCACTCAAGCTGAACCGGGAAACGAAGGACTCCTTACAGGGAGACTTCCAGTTCCACTGGGCGAATGAAGCCGTGACCTACCTGGGGGTCCATATACCCTCCAATTTATCCAAACTCTACAGCCTAAATTTCCCGCCCTTGCTACAATCCATCACGAAAGATTTATCCAGATGGAATAAACCCATCTTTGGGTGGCTCTGCCGCACACACATTCTAAAAATGAACATCCTCCCTAAAATCCTGTACCTGTTACAAACTCTCCCTATAGCCTTACCCAAAACCTTCTTCGCCACCCTAAGACGCACCTTCAGCACATTCATATGGGCTCACAAACACCCCAGACTATCACACAAACTACTAACGACACATAAGCTCTCTGGAGGTCTTGGTTTACCCAACATAGAGAACTACCACAAAGCCATAGTCCTTGCGCGGATCTACGAGTGGTCGATACCCAATAACCCCAAACAATGGGTTCAACTCGAAGCACACTGTTTCCCCACACCTATACACACCATACCTTGGCTCGACAAATGCAGAACCCTCATCAACCACCCACACAACCTCCACCCGACCATAACACCGACATTACGCACGTGGCAACAGATCAGAACGCTTCCAAATGTCTCACCACATCCCTCCCCTCTATACCCACTAACCTACAACCCACTATTCCAACCTGGTATGAACCCATCCATATTCAAAACTGTACATACATCGAGCTACCTCAAGTTGGGAACCCTACTTAATGCCCAAGGGATCAAACCGCTAGAAGAGATAATACCAAACGCAACAGCCACACCTATACTATGCTTCAACATCCAACAACTGACCCACTTCATATCGACCACACCTCTACTCCGGGGCGCTACAAGAGACCTATCCACATTTGAAAACCTGTGCGACAACACAGGCCTCAAGTCAAAACACATCTCAAAACTCTATAATTTAATTCAGAATGACACATGTGAGCCCAAGCCCCCATTCCTGGCCCAATGGGAAAGGGAACGTGACATCTCTTTCTCCAGCTCAGAGAACAAAAGCATCTTCACGAACATATTTCACACCTCAATAAGCAACGCTACACACGAACACAACTACAAACGCATAGCCAGGTGGAACTACACCCCATCACGTCTACGCCGCTTATTCCCTACCCTTCCAGACACCTGTTGGAGGTGCCACCAATCTGGAGGCACCCCGGGACACATCTGGTGGCTATGCCCAGTCATTCAAACGTACTGGCAAAGGATCATGAACCTGATCTCGGGGATAACGGAAACCAACCTCCCAGTATCGCCCAAAATATCCCTATTCCTTATATACCCACAACCGATAGCAAAACCTCTGGAAACACTAACCAACCATCTAATAACTGCTGCCAATATGCTTATCCCGATTTACTGGAAAAAACAATCACACCCGACAATAAGGGAATGGATTCAAAAGGTGGAATCTATACGGTTAATGGAGGAGCTACACTCCTCACTGACCCACTCATACACCAAATACACGACATGCTGGTCCCAGTGGCAAACCTTCATGAGCACATACTCTTCTACCTACACTGACCCCGCTTAGATACAAGACTGCACCCCACCCGAACCACACCGCCACCTTGCTACAGGACCACACCCGACGACAGACGAGTACCTGACAACCGAAACCACAGAAGCAACCCGATGCCCACACCTGAGCATATACCAGATCTCTTTGCATCATTATACACACCCAGGGCCGTACCCCCTCTCCATCCACCCCCTTCAATAACCTGAGCTTCAACCGACTAACCAAAAGTGGAAGAACCTTGTTCATTTGCTACTCTATGTAGATGTATGTCTCCACATGACAGCTTCCCAGCAAATGTGAAATGTATGAACCTCACATATTGTACTAATGTTATGTTCTGTATACAAGTTAGAGCCTGGTAACGCTAATGTGGCGATACAGGCACTGTTGTACCTACCTACTCTATGTTACTAATAAAAAAAAATAAAAATAAAAAAAATAAAAAAAATAAAAAGTACTCTATTTGCAGTACTTCTGGAAACTTCTACTACTTCAGGATTTTTAGACACAACTGTGTAATCCCTAAATCCTGGAAAGGTAGAGGTTCCTTGAGGACCAGTTTGTGAACCACAGTGCTAGACTGTAAGATCATGGGACTTATGTCCTTTTTGGATTTGTACATATTCATTATTTGTCTGTATTCCTTCTATTGTACAGTGCTGCAAAATATGTTGGCACTATATGAAAACCTAATAATGATAAAAAAAATGACTTGTGAATTGGTATGCTTGGTAGCACAGAACATATTGTAAATGAGTTGCAAATATTTAAAGGATTACTATAGGGTCAGTAACACTGTGACGAGACCAATCTCGCCACATTGCATTGGAGAAGCCTGGTTGCTCGCCTGTTGCCTTTGGATTATGGCCCCATGTTAAAAGGCTTGATTTTCCCTTGCAAAGACATGAAAGCCGGGTCATTTGATGCTTGCCCTGTTTGAGCGGTGATACCCCAGATAGCTATGCCATGGAGCCCATTCGTATAACGAAAGACTATGGGAAAGACTTTGGCTCCATGGCAATTGAACTGTATGTGTGTGCTCTGAGCGCCATTCAGTAATAATGTGCGCTCAGATCTGAGCTATCTGGGGATATGTTGAATGTACCTGTTTTGTGCAATGGCTGTTTTATTGTCTTTTGCTGCCATGTGTTCAATGGAGTTTTGCCTCTGTCCTTGGAGATAATTGGATTACTTCACAATTATCTCCAGGATAGAAGACTCTGTGGAACTGGTTTTGAGCAGAAAAGCCATGTTACCTTTGGTCACAGAGGACTACGATCTATCTTTTGAACCACTGGACCAATTTGGATGATTTCGACATATGTTTGTATTTGGAGTATGCTGATTCTGAAAATGCATTATGTGAATGTGATGCATACTTTTCAAGTTATGAATAATGTGGAAAAATTTTATTTCTTTGCTTGTTATAATTACATTACCCATTGTATAAGGTAATTGTATCACAGGCAGAGGGGAGGATTTTGTGTGGGAGTGTCTGAGTGTATTGTATGTGTTTATTGGTTGTGTTCCAAAACCCTGTGGGTGGTACTAATGTGTAAGAATGTGTACAGAAGCACAATAAACCCACAGCTCTGACTGTTCACTGCTTAACCCTCAACACAGAGCTTTGTCTCGTTCTTGGGGGGATTTATTGTATGCTATTCCAGTTCGACTCCTAGGAGTGTAAACCTATTCGGATGTTTTTTCCTATTCGGCTGTTTTTACGGCATTCATATGGTTTCCTGTTTGGTGGATTGGTGTTCTGCAGTAGCTGTGCCTGTGTCTCTGGAAGGGGAAGATCTACTAAGCGGCGGTTTAACCCTTTTATGCCTGGGGTTGCTGTTACAAACACAAACCTGTATTCCTGTCCATATAGTGTTAAAACCACTATCTAGCCCCCCTGGGCCCATCATGACTCCATAAATATAGCAAAATCTTACTGTATTCAAGCCTGAAGCTGTAGCTCTGCATGCTGTTTCACTCAAAAAAACAAGCAGTCTGCTGACATCATCAGAAGTGGTAGCCTAATCCTATCACAATGCTTCCCCATAGGATTGGCTGAGCCTGAAAAATAGGCAGATCAGGGGCAGAGCCAGCATTATTCAAACACAGCCCTGGTCAATCAGCATCTCCCCATAGAGATTAATTGAATCAATGAATCTCTGTGAGGAAAGTTCAGTGTCTGCCTGCAGAGGGAGGAGAAACTGAATGTTTGGATGCATTTTAGGCAGCCATGACCCAGGAAGGATCTCTAACAGCCATCTGAGGAGTGGCCAGTGAAGTTATCACTAGGCTGTAATGTAAACCCTGCTTTTTCTCTGAAACGACAGTGTTTACAGCAAAAAGCCTGTAGATACTGATTCTACTCACTAGAACAAATTAAATAAGCTGTCGTTGTTCTGGTGACTATAGTGTCCTTTTAAATATCAATACATGTAGTATGCACTTATTGGAAGTATTCGGCAAGGAAGAAAGGGGATACTTTCTAAAACAAGATTTGAAAGGCTACATGATGTGTTTAAATGCTGTTTCCAAATATATTTACTTTACCTATTCTTGATCAATGTTCTGCCTGGGTCTGAGAAAACAAGCTGCTCTCCATCCATCAAAACAATCCCTTCCGAAGCCATGCTGTTAAGGGCATGATAAATGCGTAACATTTTAGGCCAATTTTTTTGTGTTGCTACAACCAAAACACACACATTTAGTTATTTTTAAATAAATACAAAATGGTGATTTCACTACAGTAAGCACTCATCAGGGTCTCTCCAAAGCTTAGTATCAGGGGAAAAAAACAGTCTTTCCAGTTTGTCCCAGGTTACAAACAGGGGGCCTGGAAAGAGACTGGCTGTGGTAGGAGATCAAAACAATAAAAAGACAACTCCAGAGAAAGATCAGGAACTTCTTTAAATTCAATCAGGAGCTCATTAAGGGATTGCACGTGTTAACATGAAGAAGTTATATGACCATCAGAACAGCCAGCCGGGGAACTGGCCTGGCTGCCATGCGGTTTGTAGGCCCATGAACTTTCCTGCAGTAACATCAAGGCCTAGCTACCCAGAGGTGTAGATGTCAGGGGAATTCCCCTATTTATGCATCAATGTTTTCTCATCATAAGACAGCCTGGATTGAATAAGTACAAAAACTGTCTCAATGCTATACTTTTCAGCTTTAAATCTTGATCAGATAAACTCATGCAAGTCTGTTTGTTAAGCATAATACTATTATTGTATTGTTTGTCTATGTGTTTACCTTTAATATGTTAATTTAAATTTCTTATACTTTTAAACATTTTTAATAAACATTATTATTTTTATCGGTTTCCGACTGTCATTTGGGGTTAAATGTTATATTAGCATTGCCAGTTATATAGCGCCAACTTATTTGACAGTGCTTTACAATATTATGAAAGGGTGAATTTAACAATAAATTAGACAATTACAAATTGACCCAGGAACAATAGGTAGATGAGGACCCTGCACAAATGAGCTTACAGTTGCACATATTGGATAAGATGCGCAGTTTGATGAATTGAAAGTTGGAGGGAAAAATAAAAAGTCTTTGAGTAAAAGAAAAATAAGCACACAGGCAAATGTATTTAGGGAGACAAATTGAGTGAGACAGACTAACAGATTCAGAGTGACAACAAAACAGATTTAATAATGCAGGCAAACAGACAGCTGAAAAACGACATATGGACAGAGACAAGCATGCAGTCATAGAGAGACAGACAGAATGAGATAGGGGCATGTTGACAGAGAGAAGTGGTATAGAGATAAAATGAGAGAGGCAAGGGGGTGGGGCTTACAGACAAACAAGGTGGATGCAAGTAGGAGATCTCAAGTACGGGCAAAATATAAGCAATAAAATAAAGCATAGAACAGATTGATTCTGGCTTCAATAAAGACATGCCTGCTTTTCTA